AAACAAGAGGCTAGTCAGCCCATATGAGTACCCCTTGTAAATGTGGTCTGGAGACTGTTAATAAATGGGGCAGTGGGGTGGAAATGCCTGTTCCAAACCCTGCCAATGCTCCCCTCCGCCCCTTACACACCCGTCCCGCCATCCTCACCCCCGGTTATGCCTGGAATCCTGCGCACTCTCTCTGAAAAATGTAAACAACCAGGGTCAAATAAAAACAGGTTGTGACGGGTGGCTGCGATGTGCCGACTGTCAGCATGCCAAGCCCACTTTTTTGAAAAACATAAACAGGGGCAGCATGGATTACAGGCCAAACTGATGTGTAATCAGGGGGGATTTACACCCGTCAGGTCGAGACAATGAGTGTGCTCAGATAACAGTGCCTCACTCCATAAAACTGATAATGATTTGCTTTTGTCAGGAAGCAGTGGCAGCGCTAATGCTAGCATTAGCTCAGCAGGGAAGAGTGTCTGAGCAAGGCCATCTTTGTGTACATAGTTGGTGACTTTTTTGTTATTAAAACCTTTTGCACATGAGATATGACAAGAGGGGAGAAAAATTACTGTTAGTTTGGTACTATTATGGTTAAAAAACTTTAATGTAAAAAAAATACAAACTTCTTGACACTCTAAAATTGCATCAGCCATCACCCTAAAGCTTCAAACAGAAGATAATAGACTTAGAATAGAATTTACAGGGTATTGCAAGTTATGTTACCATTTGTTGTGCATTAATCAATTTTAGATATTCAGTGCAAGTAATAATATGCAAACATCACAACACCATATGGTAATATTTTAAATGGAAACGTTTTATACGAAAACAGTTTTAGCAAATGTCCACATATGTAGAATTAATGTAATATGCTAAGATTTGCAGCTAGCATTCATTTTATTTTGATTAACAGATGTCTTTTGTGTTTATCAGTGCCAGCTCTAATTCTGGCTGCCACTATGCCTCTGCTGGAAGAAAGTTCTCTGCCGAGGGACTGTACTCGAACTGTGCCAGTAGTCATCATTGGTGAGTCATCAAGGAGCAAATGTTATCAGATTCATTACTGATGAAAAAAGGGCATTCACAGCATCAACCAATCCAGATGGCTCTTAATTAGTAGATTCCAATATAACATTCCACAGTTACTTGTCTCTCTTATTTCCCCTCTCAGGTAATGGTCCTTCCGGTATATGCTTGTCGTACCTTCTGAGTGGATATACTCCTTATTTAGAGCCAATGGCTGTGCACCCAAACCCTATCCTGTTTCGTAAACTACAGGAAGCCAAGCAGCTTCCCATCACTGAACAGGTAAAAAGATTGAAACAGGTTGCGAAGTTTAACTTAGAGCTAAATTGTGGAGTAAAACTAAATTGTGAACAATCAGAAATGATAGTCAAATGTGCAATAAACCAGTTGACCAGTGTGTTTTTCTGTAGGATTTGGAGTTTCTTTGTGAAGGTTTAGAGGGGCGTTCAGGGAACCCTGTGGCGGTGCTCTTCGACACACTCCTTCATCCAAATGCAGATTTGGGCTTCGAGTTCCCCTCTGTACTGCAGTGGAGGCTGGAAAAGAAACATCATATTCCTCATCTGGTCTTGGGCAAAGCTACACCTGGTGGTGCCTGGCACGTGAGTGACCTCTCTGAGATAGTTGGGTTAATGCTTCTCACAACTGTACAAGCTTAAAAAAGCTCATTCATTAATAATAGTTTCTATAACTGCCAGGTTAGCTTTGAGAAGTTTCTATGGTATTGCTATGACTTTCTTACTATCGCAGGTTAGGGTATTGGTATAAGAGATACACTAGTTATACATAACAATTTACATAATGTGAAGAAACCTGTCTCTGAATTTACAACCCTAACAATCATTTTTGACTAAATGTCCTTCATTGACAAAATATACTCTTTCTGGTCTCCAAGGCAATGGAAGGTTCAATGCTGACCATTAGTCTTGGTATATGGATGGAGTTACCAGGAGTCAACTACAGAGATTTGACCCCGGGCAAAAGGAGGTATGTACTATGGAGGATAACTGATGGCAGCTTCCATTAGTACTGGGGTGTCATGTCCTGCTTCTGGAGAGCCTCCATCCTGCAAAGTTTAGTTCCAAACCTAATTAAGCACACCCGAACCAGCTTGTCAAGGGCTGCGTCCGAAAGCTGAAAAATGCTGTCTTCAGAGGATGCAATCCAAGGTAGGAAGGCATCAAGGCACATCCGAATCCAGTGTCAGCTTTACTTCCTGTCTTGAGATGCCTTCATCTGATCTATTTTTGAAGGCAGCATAGATGTATCCTTCACTGCCTTTGATATCCCACAATCCTGTGCGTTCCATTCTCTGACAGTTGAGCTAAAAAATAAAGATGGCACCTGAAAGTTGCAGTTGGTGGTCAGTTTGTGTGTAAATATGTTTCTGACAAAGTTTTTCCACTTTTGCTGTTACTTCTAGTGAGAAATTAGTATTATAGTAATTAAATATTCACTTTGTTTTCACCAAATCTTGCTCTATTTTGTTGTAGATCATTACACTGCCTTAGAAGCCTGTTCGAAATCAGTTTCATGAGGTGCCTTCATGTGCAAATGCTGCCTGCAAAGTCATTGCCCAATGAGGTGACAAGTCAGCAGCCTAAGCTTTCGGACGCAGACAAGGTCTTCAGGATTACTAGAAACCTTCAGACAAGTGTGTCAGAACAGGTTGGAACTACTCTGCGGGAAGTTGGGCCTCCATGAGCAGGATTGGACACCTCCGCATTAGTGTTTATCAAAAATAATCAAGAAGATATTATGGGTTCCTCTCCAGCAGAACTATGATCCAATTTTTCAGACTTTACAGAAAGATCTGAGATTGATGGATTATGTATATTATGGGCTTTTCTCACAGGTCGGTGTCCAATGATCGAGCCACTCCAGATGAGATCTCTTCCTACTACAAAAATTATGTCAAGCTCATGGGTCTCCAGAAGAACTTTGTGGACAATACCTATGTCACCTCTGTTCAAAAACTTCACCGCAGTCATGAAAAAAGTATTGGGAATGAAAAGAACACTGTAAATGGTCAGCTGAATGGTGTGAAAAATGGGTTTGATTATTGCAATAAGAACAGAACTGAGAACAGTCAGAATGGACTGGTAAATGGGTTTAGCAATGAGTTACAAAATGAAATGGAGAAAAGCAGTAGAAGTGGTGATACTGGGGAGGAGGATGAAGATAATAGAGGCAAAGAAGCAGTGAGAGAGAGTATTGGGTTTTCCCAAGGAAATTCACAGGGACTCTGGGAGGTCAGGGGCTACCAGCAGCTCCAAGGTGACACTCATGTCCCTTTCAGCTTATTTGCAGAGAATGTTGTCTTAGCAACAGGGGCATCTGATTCTCCAGCTCGATTGGGAGTAGAGGGGGAGGATCTCCCTTATGTGTTCCACGGCGTACGTGACCTTGGGGTGGCTGTCAGCTGTCAAAGCAACCTGAGCTCTTCCTCTGACCCTGTGCTGGTAGTGGGGGCGGGGCTTAGCGCAGCCGATGCAGTGCTGTGTGCCTTGAACCATAGGGTCTCTGTGTTGCATGCATTCCGTAAGCGTGCTGATGACCCAGGTCTCATCTTCAAACAGTTGCCAAAGACACTTTACCCTGAATATCACAGGGTCTACCACATGATGTGTTCCCAAGTTTACCCAGCATCCCCTGTTGCCAATCCCACAGCTCCTAGTCCATCTTTGTTTCCTGACTACACCAGCTTCCCTGAGCACTGTGTGCTCTCCTTCCAGCCTGACATGCACTGCGTGATGAGGGGATCCAATGGTGTCCTTAGAGTCTTCAAAGTCTCTATGGTGCTAGTTCTTATCGGGACCTATCCCAACTTGGTTTTCTTGAAGGAGCAAGGGCAGTACCTTTGCTTGGATCCCAGCAGGCCAATCTCCTGCAGACAGAATCCTGTCGACATAAACCCTTACACCTTTGAGTGTAATGCTGACCCTGGGCTCTTTGCCATGGGACCCCTTGTTGGTGACAACTTTGTACGTTTCTTAAAGGGTGGCGCTCTTGGCATTGCTAGCTGTTTGCGCAAGAGACTGAAACAGGATTGAGAAGAACAGGAAATTGATCGCCGAGGAAGGAGGGTGTGGAGGACGGGGAAGAGAAGGAAGTGGGGGCGGAGGAGGAGGATTTGTCTAAGGCTCCAAGAGAAAGTGCTTCATGATGAGTCCTGGAATACATCACATTTTTATATGTATGCAGTGAATACTAATGAAACTACAACTTATCTACAACAAGAAAGTACACGTATAAAAATGAGCAGAAGCTAGGAGAAACTACCATCTTCCCAATGGTGTCTTATGTTGTCTGTCTTACAAAAGGAGTTTTTGCTGGTCAGGAATAATGTGCCAATACGTCAATGTCATTCGAAGTCTAGATGGAGTGTGCTTTACCTCTTGTTGTTACAAATGTTGTCAGTTGCCTTGTTATTTGTAATTAGTTACCTGCTCTTACATTACATCATAGATAGCATATCTCTGTCATGATTGCAGTGCCTGAAGGGGTGTTCACACTGACAGTGTTTTGTAGCGACAAAGCAACCAAACATCATTAAGAGGTGGTCACGAGCAACAGACTTGCTGTTGAAAAGTGACAAAGATTAGCAGAGCTAAAAGATGCAGCAACTATCAATGGAAGCACAGCGATTTGTCGTTTGAGTTGGATACAGAGGAAGAATAGGTATGCCTATTAAACACCAACAGCTCAGAAACGAAACTTCAGTGATTTAATATCTGTCAGTGTGAACACAGAGGCTTGCACTTAGTAAAAGAAAGCAATACCGAAATAGCAGATGACTTAGGCAGAAGGCCTAGTTCATAAAAATTATGTTGCAGTCTTCACTAATGTTTCTGCTGTGAAATGCCATTTAACGCACAATTAATGTATATTAATATGCACAAAATGTCCAAAACCTTGATGAGCTTATAATGAGCCAATGTATTTCTTTGTCTAAAAAACAATGACGCACAAGCATGGCCTTATCCCAAATAGTTTATTACATTGTCCATTTGGATATATTTTCTAATACAGAACACATAATAGTACTTTAAACAAACAAACAAAAAAAGAAACATCCCTTTCGTCCAGTCATTCTATGGTACTCAAGCCTGCATAACAGGCTCCTAAAATAATCTGAATTACTGCAAAAAGAAGAAAACTATGAGGTCACATTGTAAGACCTGGACTGTGTGTATTTTTTTTCCATCTGACAAGATCAAAATCAACCTTACTCTTTCACTGCAACATAAAACAAGTGCCAAACGTTAGAAAGACAGTACATTTTCAGTAACCATGGTTGTCAGTCATTCTGGTAATTTGTAGGTAAAATAGATAAATAAGAACATTCTGGATTACAGAAAATTTAGATTAATTAAATTTTCTGTTTTAGAGATTTGCGATTTAGATGAATCCAATGTGCTATGTTTTAGAGATTTGAGGTTTGGACTCCTCAGTAAGGTATTTTGCAGCACTCAATAGTGGAACATTTTACTTCATACTCTGTTGTGCCAAATAAATGTTTTATTGCTTTGAATTATTAACTGAAATAACTTCTGAACTAGCATTTTTAAGTTTTCACCTCAGCCATTCATACTGCAAGTTTAGACTGCTGAGAGAATCTTTGTGTGGAGTGACAGTTTAGATAGTAGATATCATCAATAGACTTGAAGGAACCAAAACCATAAGACGACAAATCAGAGCTGTAAGAAGTAAGAAAGTCCTCTAATTCAATGCAGGATGGTCAAAGCTGCTTCACAAGGTGATGTATTGTTGGCGTGGAGGTGAAATAGACTGCTCAGTTTTGTAAAATGTCAATTTTTAATATATACATACATGTTTTGTACAGAGTATTTTTAATTATAGACAAATAAATCTCTTTTAAAAATGGAAACATGTTTTGCTTTGCATCTTGTTACAGATAACAGCAGCATTATAAACTATTATTTCTTTGCCCGCCTAGGGTTGTACCTGAAAGAAAAAGAGAGAGAGAGAAAGAAAAAAACAGATTCAACACAAAAGCAAGTAATTTATACAGTCCAACCATCATTCACACAAAGGCTTTTAACATTCCTGCCCGACGGTGACAATTAGTAACTAGTAAATTTAGTGATTGAATAACTGAGTGAATTGATACAAACCGGTACGCTGTAAAAATCAAACACTGTTTGAAAAAGTCATCAAACCAGACATCCCCTTCCATAAAAGATGTCTGGGACACTTCATTAGCCTGGGGGAGGAAGGGAGCTGGAGAAGATGTTGGAAAAACAGGTGCTGTTTTCTTTTCATTCTTTTTATTTTCTGTGTGATGTTCTCACTCCATGCATGACTGGCTGAGCAGATTCAGGGATCAAACAGTTGTGATGGACAAATCGCACGGCCGTGGCTGTGTGTATATTTGAGGGCGCGAGTGTGTGTTCTTCTGCTTAGGCAAGAGAAATGGCACCACTTGAAAGTCCCCCGTTAGCCAGGTTCAGTCTCCAGGCAACAATTCTGTGCCTGACGAGGCCTAAACCTTATTTCTCTGTAAGTGTAAATTCTTGTTCTAACGAGCCACGAAAAATGATTTAAAATGCTGCATTATGCATGCCAGGCCAGTAGTTGGCGATGTAAAGAAATACTACGCGAACATGTAATACGGATACGCATGATGCACCATTTTCACAAATGGCAATGGTATCATCGTTTATAAAAACTTGCACTTTGCATTTTCAGACCCCCAACACACAGTTGTCGCGTAAAAGAACAGCCAAAACACATGAAAATGTGTACATACCCCCCCAAAACACAAGCGTTTTAACGATTGGATTGTATGGGAATAACTACAGCAATATCCAGAAAGCAAACTTCCAAACACTATTGTCGAAATATATGCCAGTCCATTTAAATAGTTCAACACACACTTTTCTCATAGAGATAGAATAACTTTGATATTCTCACTGACCACTAATTTAAACCATCACTGTATTTTCTGTCCTGATCACTGTGTGTTTAAACAGCAGGAGCTTGTTAGAAATATCAACGGGTCTTCGCAGCCCAGCGTGACCTGAACTGTGAACAATGACTTAAAAGCAGTTGGGAAATCATTGACGTCATACTTTCCAAGCGTGCTCTGCGAAAATGAAGGATCTGCTAAAAGGAGAAACCCCTCCCTTCAAGAACTCATGCTTGATGCCGTGACACTAGTGGATCAGGCCCAGCAGCTCAAATCACAAATCACAGAACTGATGAGTTCATGACTTTAAGAAAGAAACATGCTGAGGCTGTGTGGAGCTTTTCAAAGTCAGGGGACTGGAATGTCAAAGCTGTGTAAGCCTATCAGCAAATATCTAAACACCTGTTTGACAGAAGATTCAAAACGGGGCACAATACTGGGAACCAGACGTCCCTCTGTCCTGCCCGCCTCAGTGCGTAAGAGTATCCCAGCACATAAACCGGTCTCAGCCAGTCCACTGCAGACTAAGCCCTCACAAAAGTTATTGTCTCAATACAAGCCTTGATTTTCTAAGGTCAGAGGTCAGTGTCTTGTTGAATGTAGTGTTAGTTTAGGCAGGTGGCGAGTGTCTGAATGAGAGTGAGAATTGTACAGTGATCAAACAAGATCAGTCAGCGTTCAAATGAGCTCGAAAAGTGCTGACGTCACTGTACGTCCCACTTCATTCTGTCTATTTGATCCATGCCTCTCATTTATCCATTTATGCCCTACTGCATGCAAAAGTACATAGACTGCATACCTGAACAAATCATCTCCCAAAATCTCCTCCCGTTCATTCTGTTTTTCCTCCTAAAAGAGAGAGAATGCCAGAAATGAGTACACAAATCCTATATTCATAACTGTATTCAACATGCCAGGGGTCGCCAACCACTGACACGTGAGCAATTTCAACGGGATGAATGCATTTCAATTAAATGAAGTCACTCGATCTAACAGTCTACATTTTGAGATAAACCTTACGCATAATCACACGGCCTGTTTTAGGTAAGAGTTAGAAATACCATTAAAATGTAAAAATTAAACTGCACTAGTCAACAGAAGTGCGCATGGGGGGGGTGCAGGCTAACAGGATTCAGTTTTGCATCCATTGCGCTGCACAATTATGTGGATGACAGTTCAGTTGTTCTTCTATTTGTTGCTTTTAGCTTTCAGAAAAAAAGTTACTGCTATCATTGTTGATGTTCAACTCACTATCTAGGGTCCTTAACATTCCACACAAATCAGTTGTCTTATGAGAAAACTACAACATTAAGGGAAAAGATCACAAATACAGTTGGTTCAGTGAGGAATTCTATTTTTTAGAAACTAATCTCCACATGAAAATAAACACAATATATAATTATTATTACATTTACATTCAATCATTTAACAGATGCTTTTATCCAAAGTGACTTACAAATGAGGACAATAGAAGCAACAATATGTAAGTGCTGTGACAAGTCCCAGTTGGTCTAACTCAGTACATGTAGCAAGGTAAAAAGAATAAAAAGTAGATAGAATAGAATAGAAAGAGCTAATGCCTAGTGTCAGAGGGTCAAGTTATTATTATTTTTTATAATAAATAAAAATGAAACAAGCAGATAGAATAGGAAAAAAGTAGAGAACGCTAGTGTTAAAGGGTTTTTAGTTTTTTTTACTACTACTGTACACACTTTGGGGTTGTTACAATTTTTACTTTTTTGAAAGAAGTCTCATGCTCACCAAGCTAAACATTAATACTGTGAAATATTATTACAATTTAAAATAACTCTTTTCTATTTGAATACATTTTGAAATGTAATTTATTCCTCTAATGGCAAAGCTTCAGTGTTACATGATTCTTCAGAAATCATTTTAATGTGCTGATTATTATCAATGTTAAAAACAGTTGTGCTCCTTAATATTTTTTGTGGAAACCAAGATTCTTTTTTTTCCCCAGGATATTTTAATGAATAGAAAGTCCAAAAGAACAGCATTTATTTGAAATAGATTTTTTCTTTACTGTCACATGTGATCAATTTATTGCAATACATTCGTGTGCACATAAATAACTAATATCAGACGATAATGTAAATATAATATATAGACCACTCCCCCACCACTTCCTTGTTCCTGTGGTCTCTCACCTCTGCTGCCTGTCTGAGCCATTCCTCCAGTTCAGAGTTCTTACTGCGATTGTAAGCCACCAGATCCGAGCCTCCGATAATGTTAGGCAGCCCATTAAATCCAGGGGCATTTGTCTACACATGCACACACAGATAAGTGCACATCCATTCAAAATGCCACATCAAGAAATAAACAGAAACTTTGCCATAATATCAATAAAGTGTGCATCCTCTGACCTTGCAGAACCTTTTCACATTCTTGTCATTAGGATCATGGGTCTGTAGTGGGCTGGGTCTTGATCTGGAAGAGGTGCTCACAGTCAGGGACTTAAACTGAATCTGTAGGAGCCTCCTGGGCAGCTCAGGGTCATTCTCGGATCCAGATTTGGAGGTTGAGGCCTTCGGAGATTTGATTATACCAACGTGTTACAAGATACTTTAGGGGGAGCCAGTGTAAACATTGTGATCATTCCCTTTCTGAAACCCTGAAAAGATATTTTAGGTAGTCTAGGTCAAACTGACTCACAACCAACATCTGTATTAAAACCTCTCACCTGCATTTCCGGTTTGACCACAGGCTCACAGTGCTGGGAAATGCCATTTTGGGTCCTTGAATTCTGAAATAAAAGCAAACATGGGATTAGCTGTTCTGCAGATTAAAAACAGACAAGATATATATAAAACATATATATGAAACAAATTATGGCTGTCTTTGTACCACAACAAACGACACTTCCTCTTCTTTGACCTCTTCAAGTTCTGGTCTTTTCCCCTTCTTTGCTGAACTATGTGCTTCCAGATCTGGCGTTTGTTTGGATAACCTCTTCGACTGCCTGTCAGAGCCCTGATTTGTTGCAGCTGGGCCTGTTCTGTTGGCACTGCTTTGCTGATTCTTTGCGCTTTTCCTGCTTTTGGAGTCAGTGCCCTCTTGCTGATTCGGTAATTGTGGGTTATTGATTCTGCTGTTTGTTCCTGACTCAAGACGTTGTTTTTTATTAGCTGCAGCCTGCAGAGGCTCATCCATTTCATCAGACATTATAGACTCGAGCTCTTCAAGAGACATTTCTAAATCAGCAGCTGCTACAGGTTCCATGGGGGCTGATGGAGCGTCTTGCTCTGGTTGCTTTCTCTTCTTGCTGCCAGAGCTTTGACTGGACCCACAAGCCTGAACCAGACTGGCACTGAACTCAGATCGTGACTCTGAGCTGTGTTGGTTTTGGACTGTATGTGAGGTTTTGTGAGATCTACTGGCAAAGGAACTTTGCTGGATCTCATCCTCTTTATCCTCACCGTCTTTTCTGAAGAATTTGGCCACTGAGTGGACAGAATTGGCACTGTCTTCACGTGGTCTGCAACCATAAACATCAAAATATAACATAAATCTTTATAAAATGGTGACTGTCTCACATCCTGCACATTTCAACTGAAAATATTGTCACATAAAATGTTCACCTGTTCACCTATTATTAATGTCCATCATGCGTGATCTGATCACAAGTGGCCAGCTGTGCTGACACATTTGCATTTATACCAGGTTTTTCTTGAGGCCTTGTGATCTCTTTTAATCATATTTTAGTGAGGGTACTTAATTTCATGACTATATGCATAATTTTGTACATCACTTTTCTTATCATTATATATTTATATTAATAAAAACAAAATACATAAACAAAACTTACAGAAAAAATAAAAACTGATAAATAAAACTATTAATTTTTAATCTCACTACAAACACTTATTCTAGTCAAGCAGCTGTCAAATTCAGCGCTTCACATAACTTACACTACCAGTCAAATGTTTGGGGTCAGTAAGATTATATTTTTAAAAAATTTATATTTTATTCATCAAGGATGCATTCAACCGATCAAAGGTGTCAGTAAAGACATTTATAATGTTACAAAATTATTTCTTCTAAATGTTCAATTCACAACAGAATCCTAAGAGGAAAATGTATCACATTTCCACAGAAATATGTACAAAATACATAAACAAAACTTACAGAAAAAATAAAAACTGATAAATAAAACTATTAATTTTTAATCTCACTACAAACACTTATTCTAGTCAAGCAGCCGTGTCAACTTCAGCGCTTCACATAACTTACACTACCAGTCAAATGTTTGGGGTCAGTAAGATTATATTTTTAAAACATTAATATTTTATTCATCAAGGATGCATTCAACTGATCAAAGGTGTCAGTAAAGACATTTATAATGTTACAAATGAATCTATTGGCATAAAAAAAAAAAAAGACCTATATTATAATTGACAAAAAAGCACCAACATTGAACTGATGACTCAACTCATAGCTAAAGTGATTCTGTTGTCTCACTTCCAAATACATAACTCACAGATATACTGTATATCATTAACTAAAAGTAGCAGTCTAGTTCATTTTAAAACAAAAAGCAGTCTGGTAAAATTATATCAATAAAAATAAAGCTATTTCAAGTTATAGACTATAAATCAGGACACTTTTGAACACCAAAATGTGAGATTGTTGTTTTGAGTTAGGTGTATAGAGATGTTAGGTGATCCAATTGTTTGTTTTTTGTTGTTGTTGTTGTTGAAGATGTCCACCACCTAAAACAGGTATTCTGTAAGATTCAGCACAGACTTCTACCTGCTCTGGTCCTGAGAGAGCTCAGTGTTGACCACATAGGCTGTGATATTCTGGGAAGGTGGTGCAAGCGCCGTCTCATCTACAGCAGTGTTCTGAGAAGGTGTTGCTGCAGCAATGACTGGTTTCACTTTCACCGAATCTGTGAGGAAGTGTTGGGAAATTACTGATGTGCTGAGTTCACGTGTCAGTCAGGAAATCTACTTCTGTAGGGATGCTCCGATCCGCCTTTTTTGCCTCCGATACCGATTCCGATACCTAGGGTTCGGTATTGGCCGATACCGATTCCGATCCGATACCAGTGAAGTTTTTTTCCCTCATTTAAATAAATGTAGAATTTATATATCTCTGTGTGTGGAACTGATAATCATTCTTTCACAATCTACTAGATACAGACTACTTCATTATAAAGAAAAATAAAATAAACAAATATGAAAAAATATAGGCCTATGTATATTTATAAATACCCGATCCGAGAAAAATGGCACTATCGGAGCCGATACCCGATATGAATATTGGATCGGCGCATCCCTACTTCTCAGATTCACTGCCATGTAAGGATCAGTAAGCACACTTAACACACAATTAAAAAAGTCAGTCATCATCGTATGCATCATTATTCACTCATTATTAACACTGAAAACACTACTAAGAATGAGTAATGACCTAGAACAGTCCATCTGCACCGGATGTGTATGTAAGTGTATTGTATGTAAACCCACCAGATTGCATAGAAAAGAAAGGATTGCAGTAGGTTTGATTATTGATATGAATAGCAGTCAATCCAATCTCAGATTCTGTAATAAAGCGCAAGCCGTTTCTGTGTGAAAAAGAGAAAGCATTAGAGACACGAAGATTAACCAAAAAAAGGAATTTACGGATTCCTGCAGTAATACTCAGATAGCTCTAAAACAAAACATATTTTCCAAAATGTATGCAAAATTACATGCGTGTAAATTTTATACACACAAAATGAATAAATCATCAAACAAACTGTTGATAATTTTGTCTTTTTTTTTTAAATGAAGGTGGTGGAATGCCATTTCGGATCACTTTGGCCCAATTTATGACTTGATTATATGCAATACACACAAACTAAACAGCTTCATTGTATTACTCAATACACAGAACAATTAGTAGATGTTGTCTGAACTGACAGAAAAGACTGGGCATGAGCAAAAATACACACACCTGTGCAGAATCTGAGCTACAGAATCCATCCACTTCTTGGATGCTGGAGGGATCACAGCCTGGGAGTTCCCCGATGTCATGTCGACTACACAGGTGCTGCTTGACTCCAAAAGTGAAATGGGCAGAGAGCCCTCGTCCAAAAGTTGGCTCACCCCACCTCCACAACTCACCGCCTGACTCAAACGCTTCATCTGAAAAGATACACAAAACATCAGTGATTACAACAATAAAACACTGAATATAATTCAACTTGGATTATAATGATTTTCTAAATCTTTCCTTAATCTATGTTCAGCATGATAGAAAATGAAACTGCAAGTTTCTAAACTGAAGTAACTAAAGCCTACTCACTATTAGAAAGAACGAAAAAATGAGACGAGCCCTTCAATTTGTCCCACTCAAGCTTCTTGTTTTAAAAAAGAAATAGATCTACACAGGAAATAAGTGCTCATCCATCATTATCCCGAAACAAAAAGATATCTTTTTTTTTTTTTAATAAAAAGTAATGGATTTTATGTTCCCAAACCAAAAAATAAAAGGTGATCAGACAGATGAAAAACTTAAGTATAAACTAAAAACTGATGTACTAAAAACACCTAAATTAAAACTAAACAGGAATATTAAAAATTATAATAAAAATGACAAAATCACATAACAAACAACTTCATTAAAATGAAAACTACTGAAATGAAAACAAAATATTAATAAATACTATAATATACATAAATTACTGTATACTAAAATAACACTGCTCCAAACACTCAAAAAACAAACACACACACAAAATCGAAAACAACTGGAAAAACTTTTCTTTCTGGGTCTTCAGGGATTAAAAACTTTTCCCAAGAAATCACAAGAAAGAAAATGACCATGTGACCTCATTGCACTGCTGTAGCTTCTATCAGCAGTTATTCACTCACAAATGAGCCTGCTGGTTACAGAGAATATCCCAGCTGTTTAGCTGCACATGGTCTGCTCTTCCTCTGAGCTAATTAGGACTGTTTCACACCTCCTGATTAATATAAAACAGCATGGAGAAACTCCTATGTGACATCCAACTTTTTCACTGTATATAACAGTCTAATGAATAAAGACCTGATGCATGTCTAACTTTAGATAAAGAACTTTAGATAAAGAATACATGAAATAGGTAAGAAAGGTCAGAGTGCCTGTAACTGATAATATTTTCCAACATTACAGGACAAATAAAGGAAACGTCTGGGGAAAAAAAAAAAACTACTTCTGCACAGATTTGGTTTCAAAGGTACACCTTTTTCTTATATAGTAACTGGCCATGTGATGTGATAAGGAATATGAAAGTAAGAGAACAATATCACAATCCTTTGGCCTCATATTTTTGAAATAGGCCACACTACTGCGCTGCCAACAGACAAACCTCTTATACATCCAAAAATTAAGCCTTTCATGAAGTCTATTTTAGGACCATTAAATATTTATTTTCTTTTCTTTTGCACTGTGACACTATTTTCATGACAATTAAGTAACATTATAATATAACTATTTCTCATATTCCTGTATTTATTGTGTGTGGTGTGTACTGTACTATCTATCTAGAACAAGATTTTATCATTTCTATATAAACCACTGTTCAAAAGTACAGTGATTTTTTAAATGTTTTTGAAAGACGTATATGCTCACAAAGGCTGCATATATTGGATCAAAAATACAGTAAAAACAGTAATGTTGTGAAATATTCTAACAATTTAAAATAACTGTTTTGTATTTTTATATATTTTAAAATGTAATTTATTCCTGTAATGGCAAAGCTGAATTTTCAGCAGTCATTACTCCAGTCTTCAGTGTCACATGATCCTTCAGAAATCATTCTAATATGCTGATTTGGTGCTCAGGAAACGTTTATTACCCATGTTGAAAACAGTTGTGCTGCTTAATATTTTTTGTGGACACCAAGATGCAGTTTCTTCAGGATTATTTGATGAATATAAACTTCAGAAGAACAGCATTTATCTGAAATAAGAAATCTTTTGACCAATTATTGCTTTGCTACTAGCTGAATAAAAGTATTCATTTCTTTAAAAAAAAAAACTTTGAATGGTAGTGACAGTCATGATAAGTAGCTGTATAATTATTATAAAAGAGGTGGAGTCTGTCCTAATGTTAATGTACAGTGATGGTATAATTTATAATTTTAGTAGTAGCTAAAAAAACAACTTGCCTGTTTTGAGTTCAAAAACAGAAAAGTTTTCCCCTTGAAGAGGCTCTTTCTCTCAGGTCGTGCACTCAGATCCACATCCTCTTTAGCCAGGCTGGGCTCATCAGTCTGAGGCCTAAATCTGATCAACGCAAAACACAGCAACATCTGATCTATATTGTCTATTCAAAATATTGCTATTAGCTATTATGGAATAAAACAAGCAACTGCGAATGAGAAAGAAAAAGAGACACTCCGTACTTCTCGGAATTAGGCAGTGGAAGTTTCTGCTGCACAGCTTTGCTAAACGCACTGAAGAATTCAGGTTTTACTATGGGCCGACAGCACAGCAATGCACAGATTGTCTGCAAAGAGAGTGACATTGATTCAGCAGATGTTTAAGTGTACCTTGAAGGTTCATTGGCAGTTCAGGGAACTGAATAAACCCTCAAGGATCAAATGATGTGCTGAAGTGGTCAATGGTCTCCTGACCTTTATGGTGACCTTTGCAGTGGGCATGACGAGATGAGTGCAGTCAAGTGTCCAGGAGTTGACAAGTCGGCCCCCAATAGAGTGCAAATCTTGAGAGAGGGAGGCTTTCCCTTCATTATCGACACATGAGGAACACACCACAACACACTCTTTCTCCAAACTGAGAGGGGAAAAAGGGAGATTATTATTATCGGCATAAAAAAATATAAATTCAGAACATCAAAACTAAGCTAAAAAACAAATCACACACACGAAACATAATGAGACAATAGCATAAAACAAAATAACAAAGCAACAATGTCCAATTTGTGAACTTTTTTCTTTTTAATCTTAACAAGACCTGTTTAATCAGAATCACAAAACTGGTCTAATTGATTTTTTCCCCAAATCGGACTGACTTGGTTCTCAAATCTAACTTAATCTGTGAATTTAAACTGTGTACTCTCCGAAGAATATAGTGCAAGTCTTATGGACTACTTTTATAATACCTCATTGAAGCGCTTGAAAGCTTCAATAGTCATTCATTGAAGTAACAACAAAAAAAATTACCAGTACATAATTCAAAAGTCCTCAATTTGTAGTGTACTGAAGTAATGCCACAGGTATTTGGAACAAAATGAGGGTACATTTATTTTTTACTCAACAATTCCTTTACCACTATCCACCTTAGTTTTCCCATAAGAGCGGACGCAGCCATTTGTAAATTGTAAATTTTTAACTGTACAAAACAGCTCATTTTGCTGCTTGATATTGCAAACTGGTGTGTCTTACCATTTTATTTTAATATATTATCTTAATTATGAACAGACTGGTTTGTAACACAAGCAGTTTTACCATTTACTGCACTTTCTTATTCTTCTTGTTATTTCCCTACAGCGGCTAATGAACCAGAAGTCTCGCACATTCACAGAAAACGGTTTACTTCCGCGCTGAAAAATAAGGTGGATAAACTGCTTCTAAAGCATCCTCACATAACACACAGGAATGTGTAGCTACATACATACAAACCTGAACTTGCTCAGAAAGACTCCGAATGTGATTTTGTCTCCTGTCTGAAGGATCTTTGTGGAGCCAGTTTCAAGCTTCTCACAATTGATGAAAGTGCCATATTTAGAGCTGTCCTTTAGAGTAACCGCCTGCCAACAGAGGAAAAACAAGAAAGCACCCTATCAGCAAGCTTTACCAGAAACCACTATGAACTAATCCATCCAAAACACAGCAGTAAAGGAAACAGGGTCATCTAGTGCATGATACCTGCAAGCACGCATTAACAGAATGCAATACCATCTCAAGAATAAATAAATTTGCAATTTGATAGTGTCAGGATTAACAGGTATAATATTTTTAGCTAGACATGTGCCGTTATTTGGTAATATTGCGATAATGAACATGCATGGTATTGTTACAGTCGGTACATTAAAAAACAGGGAATAACTGTAGGTAGTAGGTACCTTATTGTCCGAATTGTTTAGATTTTTAAAAAGCACATAAGCATCTTTTCCATCAAGTGGACACAGAACTACATAACGGCCTCAGTGAAAATTTAGATTTAAACTCTGAATGTAGGTGGCACTTACAGAAATGCATTTAAATGTAGAAATGTATTTAAATGTGAACGGCTCTTTTTGTCATTTGAAAAAAAAAAGTTAATAAACTTGTTATTAAGAGGACAGCACTGAAGTTTGCTCATCTTTTCAACCTGTTTTTGTAATGTAACTTAAAAGCTTCAGCAAATATCGTGATATAAAAATGTGATAATGTCACATGCCTAGTTTTAACTGGTTTACTATAGTACATGCCACCTTTAATTATTTAAAAGATGATGAGTGATCTTTCAAAGCACTAAAATAAATAACATGGACATGTGAAAGTCTTTTAACATAATTATATATTGAACAAGGCCATTCGAATAAAATCAATATTCTCAGTTATGCCTTATTGTAATCACTTTTTTTTTCACACCTTTCCAAGAAGTTATTAGTAATATACAAATATAATTTATTGCATCCTGAATTCAAATAAGTAGCCTATTTCACAGCAAGTATGACTTACTGAATTCACAGTAAGAGTGACTAAGGGAAATAATGACGCACATGATTACAGTTCTGCTGTGTAATTAGCAAAATAATAAAAAACAATTAGTAAATTCAAATTTGATTACTTAGTGAAATACTTCCCACAGCACTGCCTTTGAGATATTTATGGAAAGGCTCTAAGAGAGCCAAGGAAAAACATAGCTAAGATGACTTTTGTTAACAACATAAAAGTCAAAGGCATATTTAAAAAAAACAAGTTGCTATTCATATTCTCTTATCTCAGAAGCTCTACAAACACCTATCATTGTGGTTTGTTAGATAATGTATAAGAATGACAGGGAGACAAAGTACAAAAGCATAAATAGTGGGCTACCAAACATCCCTTCGTTGAAGATGCCCTTTTTTTCTTAGGCATCATTATATGGAGATGCTCATAAGGGGAGTTACTCACCTGCTGAGTGACAGTGAGGTTGGCGTGCACACGGCTGATGGACTGATCATTGGACAGCAAGATCTCACAGTTCTTACGGCCGACCACATACTCCTGACCCGGGAACAGAATGATACTTTCCCCTTCAGAAACAAAAAGAACTGGAATAAATTAAAGCATCCCAACCTATACAGATTATAATGACTGGAAATGTGCAGATTTTATGACAAAATCTGCCCTCTAAATAATAATCATAACAATAATAAAAAAGTCAGGATTTCATGTGAGCATTTTTACACCTCTCAGAAAGATGATGTCTGCATCAAAGCTCCATAAAAATAAAGCATGTAAAACAGCTGTGGACTACAAAAGAAGGTATTTTGAAGAATGTTGGTAACCAATTAGCTTCAGTTCCCAATGACTTCCATTGTACGGTACAAAAAATATATAATTCATATATAATATACATTCTTCAAAATATCTTCTTTTGTGTTCCACAGCAGAATAAAAAAGTCATACAGGATTATAACGACATGAGGGTTAGTAAATTATGAGTTTTAAATTTTTGGGGGTAGACAGTAGACTATCTGTCTTTTATAGTAAATCATGATCACAATAAATGTAAAATGTGACATTTGTGACAAGGGTGAAACCAAGAGCCCTGTTTTGAATAGCAACTGATTGATTCACAACATAAAATAAATTACAATGCAAGTAAAATTTTTACTGGGTCTTCTCTTACTGAGAAAATGAGTAATTTCAACTCTAGTTACAATCGTGACCAGGAACAAAACAAATACTCTCACTAACTTAACTGGTAAAATCTGATGTTGGCATACTGAATGTTATGACACAGCCTACATTGTAATTATGTACTCAACCTCTCTATGCCTACGCATGACAAAAATTATACTATAAAACAGTTTAACTAAAGAAATGAACGCCTTGTGAGATATGAGGTGAAGCTGTATTTAAAAGTCCTTAGAAGTCATCCCTTAAACATAAACACATTATGTAAACAAGAACACATTACATGAGCATTGTTACTGCTGTGCAGTTGGTTTATAGTTGGTCTGGATTATACATACTGCCGCAGTGCATTAAAACACTGAATAAACGAGTCATTTTGCACAGAAAACATTACCTCTAGATTCGGTTGGTTGCAGTTTCCACATTTCAATTCTTGTCGCTTTCTACCGAATCAAAACTTATCAGTTCTTATATTGGGGCGGTAAAACTGAACTGTACGAACTGGCGCGCAACATTTACATCTTCATATGCGACGCAAGAAACCTCAGTTTCAAAATAAAAGTAGGCTACTACGTGCACATAATATGGGAATGGGAGGTTCAGTTCATTTCAAAGAATCGGTTCTTTCAAACATTTGGTTTCAAAGAACAGAGCTTCTTGGCGTCTTGATGTATTTACGTCATTGCAGTTCATTGACTGGGCTTTAATAATAGTGATTTGTGAGCATGTCGTTCAGCACAGGGTAAATATAATAATAAATTAATAAAATCGGATATAACATTAAATTAAATGGAGCTGCACAATTAATCGAAATAAAACTGAAATAGCGTATATCACATCACGATTATCGAATCAAAGGTAGGATCTTTGTTCTTTGTGTCTGGATGTCTCAGGAACAATATTGGACATTTTCATATTAAATGAAATGTCATATCGCAGTTCACAACATTTTGCCAAGTGAAACCACTGGTTTCGTGAACCAGTTCAAACGATTCATTTAAAAGATATGACTCAGAAGAACAATTTATACACAGATCAGACACTACTTCTCACCAGGGATTTTTACGAAAATCTAAATGTATATTTTTGAGTGTTGAAAAAGTAGAGATAACACCTGAGAACATGATACATTTGATGTGTATACATTTATTGTTGTGATTTTACATAACTTGCATTAAAAGTTCATGAAGTAGAGCTGTTTAAAATGTTCTTTTTAGGCATCATATTCCCAGAATAACAGTATTTTCATCAGTCAGTGTAGAAGTTGTTTCATAAATAGTCCATAAAGTTCTTAAATTAATAAAAATATTCCACTAGGCCATAACATGTCAGTGTATGCAATACAAGAGGTAGAATATCAAGCTCTTTTTCAGACTTGGTTTCAGTGCTTCAAAGTTGCAGAAGTGTGTGAGGGTAAGTTATTTACATATAGTATTAATGCATTATTTAGCAACATCGCTACTGATTCAAAGCCATTAGCTAGCATTCAAAAGCACTTCTAAACAACTGACAACTGCAATTATTCCTTCAGATGTACATCCATTTCCGAATACAACAGAGCCAGATACAGCAGACGTCCGGGGCTGTCTTTCCAATGTATTATTCCCAAATTGTCCGGAACATTGAAAAATCCTTGAACATATCAGATCGACAGGGTTCATTGTCTCACTTCCAGTGAGAGTTCAGTTTTCATAGTTATCGTTCAATAAAAGGTCCCAACTTCCTGTAATAGTTCAATGTCTACATAACTGTGCAAGTATGTCTATTGCCAGAGAATCATCTGGATTATAAAATCCCAAATTCCCTCAAACATTTCTTTGCATTAGTGGCATCTAGTTTTGTCACAAGCATGTTTGTGTATCTGTGTGTGTTTAGTGCATTTGGTGTTCAATCATAAAGAGAAAACAAGCCTTCTCAATACATGCAGAGGCATTCTAGAGAAGTATTACACAGGCTGGGAAGCTGGAGTCCACACCATGAGAGACAGACAGACGCAAAAGATCAAAGCTCCAATTAAAATATCTTGTTTTAGAACAAAAAAAGCTGTTGAGACAATGCGAGGTTAAAACAGCCGTATTATTTATGTAAGATGATTTTTGAATTATTTATGGTCAGTTAGTGAAAAGTGTTGAGTGAAAAGCGTTTAGTGGCTTGTTGCAAAAGAGTTAACACCACATTTGAGTGTGTATGTTTGCAGGGCTGTAACCATCATAGAAACCCCGCAATCCAATATTTAGAAATGGCCAAACTGTCCCTCCCAATATTTGATATTCTTTATGTTGCTCTGTTTGTTGTTAGGATGACAAAAAGTTTTAAAACATTACATCTTAGGTTGGTCTGCCTCAGTGGTCTAACAGCTCTCATCAATGTCAAAATGATTGAGATGGTCTTTTAAAACCAAGGCGGCAGTCCTCACTGTTCACAGATACCGAACATGAATTCCAGCATGATGCTTCAGTCTTTAACAGTGAAAGAATGTGAGGTAATTTGAAAGTAGTTAAACATTTACTATCTGACAACTGTTTTAAGACCGAAATGCTAAATGACTGACAGTAAAATCCAATGATGCAAATTTTTTTTTCATTTTCATTTTGAATTTCTGAATAATTTCTGTGATTCAAGTAATGCATAGTTGAATATGACGAAATATGAAACATTTTACATTTTTGACATATTAGGCAAACGAAAAAATGAATGTGTGCCTATTTTAAATTAAAATAATATTTTCAAATATTTTAATTTTCAAATATTTTACTTTTACTGTTACTATTACTTCTTTTACTGTTCTTTTTCTTTTTGTTTATTCCCTTAAATCCATTGAAATCCTTTAATTGTTTAATTCCTTTAATTATTCCTTTAATTCCTTTTAATTATTTAATTCCTTTAAATTACCCCAAGTTCAAAACATAGTTACAGCCAAACATATGGTTGTATGTTTGTAGTTGCATGAGTGCATTGTAATGAGCTGTGAAGACAAGGAACAGTGTCAGAGGTGCTGCATTCTTTCCATATCCATGTAAACAGTGAGCGAGAAAAAAAGCACTAGATGGAGCAAAAAATTAATGGAAATATAAAAGAAGGACCAGAGTTTGTCTGGCACAGAGAGCAGCGGGTCTGAAGGGTTCAACTCCATTATATCGGGTGTACTGTTCGGTTTTTTATTACGGTAAGAACAGCTGAAAACTTCACCAATGGTACATACTGTATACTGTTTTTCAAACACCCTTCAAATCACCCTTTCTGCAAGCTAAATTCCTCATCTCAAACCTATTTCCCACCTGTCATTCTTTCCTCAAATTTTCTCTGCCCCTCCCCTGAATCCAGCAGTGATTAATTCCAGAATCCCCCGCCCCATTTCAGAGGGCAGATTCTGAGTAAAGAGCCCCTGATGATCCGTGTGACGGTGGGTGGAGTCTGCGCAGTGATGCGATGGATGTCGAGTTGAGGTCTCCGCAGCTACGCAAGTGGATTCCCCCGGCCCTTACAGGGTCATCATCATGGCGGCGGGGGGCATTATGGCGACTGTCACTATGGGAGTGATGGTGTCCACGGCAGTGGTGGTGGACGTGCTGCTGCTGCCCCCTGTTGGCCCCCAGAGAGTTACGAAGCACCTTCATAGAAACATGTAATGGGTCATTTTATCCTAAAATGCACTACACAGAATTCTAGCTGAACTAAATGATTTTATTTATGGTATTGGCAATGTTTTACCTGTTCTAACGGCAGGCCTTCGCTTCCTGTCCTCCTTTTAGGCCCCTGAGTACAGTTTCCAGCATGTTCAGTTGCAAGGGCTAAGTTACGTTTGGATCTCTGCAGGAAACGTTGCACTAAAACTTTGGTGACCTGTAATTTAAATCGAAAATGTTTGTCTGCTTGTTTATACTAACATTTACGGTAATATTGGGAAGAAAAGGGAGATCGGCAGATTTCGGGGTCCTTGACATCAAAAAGACTAACCTTGAGGTCTCCAAGAGAGCGTGCACAGTCTTTGGGTAAACGCAGCGAGGTGGCTGGGACTTGTTTTGAGGGCAACCGGGTACTTACAGTCTTAATGCTGCCTTTTCTGGGCAGGGAAGCAGGAAGTGCAAAAGAGGAGCGAGGCAGCAAACCAGCTCCAGACGATACCCCTATGCCACAAAGGTAACACAAACAAAGTATTCAAATATAGTGAGCAGGGAGCAGAATTGTTATTCAAATAATAATAATAATAATAATCTAAAATAAATATTTTTTTTTACCTTTGCATGTTATTTTGGTATTATTTATATGCTATTATAGTATTTATTAATAATTTATTTCAAATTAGTTTTTATATTATACTTAAAGTTTGAGTAATGTTGTTTTTGTCATTTTTATTATTTTTTACCTTTGAAATTATTGAATTGATCAGGGATCTTGTTAAAAGTACAACTAAAAAACATGCTTGTTTGTAAGGATGGTTTCTTCCAACCAAAAAGTTTGATAGACTTAACCACATTTTATTCTTATCACTGTTCTGGTGTCACCCGTATAAATGCAGGTGGTCATGCATTAATAAGTAGGCGTTTCTGATCTTCCAAGAAACATATCAGAACAAACTCAGTCTCAATATATATATTTTTTTAAATAGAGTGCAAGTGACGAGTTCTGAGACTTGAAATGAGCTTGAAAAATTTGATCTCTCATAATATGACTCCTTTAAATTTGTTTACAATATACATTTATTATGTGTTACCATGGTTATTATAAAAAAAATGTAAATTAAAATAAAAGCTATATACATATATATATATATAAACTGAAACTAAATTAAAATTAGAAACATTTTCTTTGGGAACTAGCTGAAATAAGATGAAGCAATAAATTACTAACTGGAAATAAAACCTAAAACTGAATTAAAACTAAAACTGAAATTTCAATTTTAAAAGAATTATAAAAATGACAATGACAAAAATTACAGTACATAACAACATTACTAACATTTTAACTAAAATTAAAACAAAAACTGAAAATGTAAAAATAAAATATAAATTAAAACTAAAAATGTAAAAATAAAAGTTGAATAAAAACTATAATAGTACACAATAAAACTAAAATAACACTGTGTTTCTCTCTTGTAGTAATCCTATATAATAAACATCTCTGTGACATGAGAGTGCTAAACTCTTACCTGTTTCTGGTGAGGTCTGCGATCCCCCCTCACTGACTCCTTTATTGCCTCCTGAGTGACTGAAATCACCTGAGGACAGAAGAGCACACACAAAAACACGTTATCGTCATTCTGCAGAGTGGTTTGAAGAAAACAGAGTAACACAGAGGTGAACACAAATTCACATTTTCACGTAAATCCCAGACAACTGTAGTCTGTTACATATGTATGTTCATACCTGTGTCAGTTGAAGAGCTAAGTCCTGGTTCACTGTGTGACCTCAAGAGAGGTAAGAAGACGTCGCTGTCTTTTCTATCACGTCCAATTTGCTCACGGAAACCTGGCCGCAGAAGGAGCACCGGTACTGTGTGGTCCGGCCGGTCTTGAGCAGGACCTGATGGGGCT